CTTTTTTCTTTTTGCTTATGTGGTGCTGAGGAATCGAACCCAGGGCCTCATGCATGCAAGGCAAGCGCTCTACCACTGAGCCACCTTCCCAGCCCTGGCACAATTTTTTTTAACATTTTACAACTTAATGTGAATGGATATGAGTGTTTAATAGATAATATATCAGGGTGGGGGCATGTGGTTCACATATGTAATCCTAGTTTCTCACCAAGCTGAGATCTGAGGATCATGGTTTGCTCCAGCAGGAAAGTCTATGAGACTCTTTGATAAACTATCAAAAAGCCAGAAGTGAGGCTGTAGCTCAAATGATTAGAGTGCTAGCCTTGAACACAAAATTTTAGGGGCAGTCTAGGACTGTGGCTCAGTGGTAGAGTGCTTGCCTAGCATGCATGAAACTCTTGGTTCGATTCCTTAGTGCCACATACACAGAAAAAGCCAGAAATGGCGCTGTGGCTCAAGTGGTAAAGTGCTTAGCCTTGAGCAAAAAAGAAGCTCAGGGATAGTGCCCAGGCCCTGAGTTCAAGTCCCAAAACTGGCAAAAAAAAATTATTGTTAAAAATAATAATTCTTTCTGAGCTACCTAAAGAAGGGGCTTGGTTTCCAGAAGGATGTTGGCCCAGGAGAAGTGGTACATACCACTGAAAGGACCTTTGGAAGAGTCTGGCTCCCAGCCCCCCTCCTGAGTGACTGGGGTGGGGGGGGGAGGGGGGGCTTCGGCCCCTCAGATCCCCAGTGCCATTAGCTTTTGCAAAGTCTAGGTTTTGAACTTTCCCTCCCAATGCGCCCAGCCCTCACCCCCCAGCTCTTTTTATCATCACACACCGGATAGAAGTCTGGCTGTAGTCAAAAGGTGGGAGGCCTCTGCTTCCTTCCCAGAGCTGTGCCCTGACCTTTGGCTGCCCCTTCCTGATTCCCCACCCCCACCCCCCCAGCCTGTCTAATCAGATCCAGGCCTGACCTCCACAGAGGTCCTGGGCCAGGAGAGAAGGTCTCTGTCCTCCACTAAGCAGCCCTCCATCCGCCTGCCTCTCAGGAGATCCCTCCCCTCTGGGTGATTTATAGGGGTGTTTAGGAGTGTTTCCTGCCACTTCCTGCTCCTGGCCAATCCAAAGATTGCTGGGCTACGCTCTACCCCTTCCCCTGCCCCCCACCTTGGTTTGGTGGTAGAGCCCAGAGAGGCCCAGAGATTTCCTTCCTACTGATTGCCTGAAATATGAAATAGCACTAGTGTGGGCTACAGACATGGGGCTACCCCACAGGAATGGATCTATACTTAAATCCTTACCTACTCAGGTCTCTCAGATGACTTGTTGAGGCCCCGCCCTCAGCCCATCTTCTCAGGTAGCCCAGGAATCCTTTCTATAGAAAGACACCAGAAGAGACCATCCCTAGCCCCCAGCTCTGCTAACTCAAACCAGAGCAAGAACAGAATGATTCTTACTATTGATTTTTTTTTTTTTTTTTTGGTGCCAGTCCTGGGGCTTTAACTCAGGGCTGCTGTCCCTGAGCTTTTCTGCTCAAGGTTGGCTGCCCCGCTACTACTTGAGCCATAGCTCCACTTCTGGCTTTATTGGTGCTTATTTGGAGATAAAAGAGTCTCAAGAACTTGCCCTGCCCAGGCTGGCTTCCTTCTATGATCCTTAGATCGCAGCTTCCTGAGTGGCTAGGATTACAGGTGTGAGCCACCACGCCTGCCTTCCGCAGTGTAGTTGTGAGTTACCTTCTGTAACTGCTCAGTAGAGGCCGGACTTCTCCATACCAGCCCCCCTGAGTAGCAGCCGCCGCTTTGCACTCTCCTCCTCTCCTCCGTGGGAGCCCAGGATGGGAGCTGGAGACACAAAAGGCCTGACTTCTTAATGAGGCGGCATCTGTACTCAGCAGAGCTATTAGTCCCTGCCCCAAGTCCCTGGGGGCTTCCAACTCCTCTCCAGCTGGAGTGAGGAGGAGGGGGCAAACAGCTCCCTAATACCCACAGGGGCCAGTCCCCCACACCCACCCCCCAGGGTACAGATTGGAAATCTTGAGCCTGGGTGTCTTCTCCATTCTTTTCGCCTGTGTGTTGTCAAGGGTCCAAGGGAGCCCTTTTCCCAAGCCCCCGGACTGACCTGCTGGCATTGTGTGTACTTGCACACGCCAGTCCTGGGGCTTGAACTCAGGGCCTGGGCACTGTCCCTGAGTTTTTGTGCTTCAGGTAAAGCCCCAGCGTTACTTCCAGCTTGTTTTCCTGAAGTTTCATTGGAGTTAAGAGTCTCAGGAACTTTTCTTGCCTGCGTTGGCTTTAAACCACGATCCTAAGATCTGTGTCCTGAGTAGCTAAGATTACAGACACACTACACCAGTGCCTGGCCCTGCTGGCCTTTGGCCAGCCGTGGCCTTTGACTTGGGGCTGGGCAGGCTTGACCTCCCAGTGTACTCTGGGAATTCTCTCACCAAGCCAGTTGGGGGTACCAGCTGGGTGTCCCCTTTGAGAGGGACCAAGGGCACTGTTTCTAATAGCTTGGCTTGCATTGAGACATTTGTGATTGATCACCTATCTAGTCCAGGAACTACACACCGGCTATAGGGAGATGTCAGACTCAAACCCCCTGACGGGCACAATCAGGGTACGGGAGACACTGCTGAACACACAGAGCCCCCCGCCCATGTGTGCAGAGAGCCACACACCCCTCAGCCACCCTCCCCAGAGGCTCCCTCAAAGAAGAGGAAGCAGAGCCCGAGATTTTTTTTTTATGCATGTTTATATTTAATGAACCCCATGCAAATGAGACAGAGAACAGTCACAAAGGAGCCAGCCCCCAGAGACTCTGTGTAGGGCACAAAGACTCTTGCCTTTCTGGAAGTCTTGGAGTCTAGAACAGGCCTGTGGATCACAGGGTATGGGGACCCCAAGGAGGGCTGGCCTGGTCACACATCAGAGAGCCAGGATCGAGGGGAACTGGTGTCCCTCTGCTGGGGTGGGAGAAGGGCTTCTGGAAGGGGGGGAGGGAGGGAGGGAGGGAGAGAGAAGACCCAGTTTGATGGAGCGCCGAGGGGAGGGGCTGCCGTCTGGACAGATGGTGTCCCGCCTTCCTGCACTTGATGCAAAGTGGATTTTAATGAAATCTCAGCCCTGGTGCTGAGCTGGTTGCCTGTGTGGGAGGGGAGGGGCTCCCTAGAGTGGGAAAGCGGGGGAGGGGGACCACTTAACCAGCCTCAAACTGGAGGGCAAAGGGATCCATCAGAGCCCCTCTCGCAAGGGCTTTACAGATGAGAGTTGAAGTGTGAGTTCAGATTCTCGTCTCCCCTTCCCCCACCCCCAAAGGTGGGGAGGGAGAGCGTGAATATTTATAACACATTGAAATGTAGATGGGTAGGTTTGACAGCCTTCTGAGGGGGCCTGTCACCTTGGATAGACGCACCCTGATTTCTAGGGGGGGGGACATAAAGAAACTGCAAAGGAGTCAGGCGCTGGTGATGGCGCACTCCTACAATCCTAGCTACTCAGGGAGATCCAATCTGAGGAACCTGGTTCAAATCCAGCCTCGGCAGGAAAATGCCTGAGATTCTTTTTTTTTTTTTTTGAATAATAAAATAGAAACCTTTATTACATTTTGCATATCTTTTAAAATATGAAAAACAAAGGGGGCAAAAAGTTTTAAAACTATTTTTTACAGATGTTTCTTATCTCTGATGAGCTACCAAGAAAGCTGGGCGTAGAGCTGTGGCTTAAGTGATTGGGTGCCAACCTTGAAAAGAAAAAGCTAAGGGACACCGGGCGCTGGTGGCTCACGCCTGTAATCCTAGCTACTCAGAAGGCTGAAATCTGAAGATCCAGGTTCAAATCCGGCCTGGGCAGGAAGGCCCCTGAGACTCTTCTCTCCAATGAACAACCACAGCAACAACAAAAAGCCAGAAGTGGAGCTGTGGCTCAAGTGGTAGAGCCCTAGTCTTGAGCATAAAAAAGCTCAGGAACAGGACCCAGGCCCTGACTCAAGCCCCATGGGGGGAGAAAAAAATGGCCGCCAGACCTTAGTAATGAGGGATTGATGCTGCTGCTGCACCCCGTGGAGCAACACTGGATTAAATTAGTCCCCTTTCTGTTCCTCAGTTTCCAGTTCTGTCAAATATGGAGCATACGAGTCCGGTCTTGCCTATGAAGGCAAGACATGGGAGTCATGCTTTCTCTAGTAAGCCTCACAGATACTTCTTAAGGATGCTCATAGCTGCCCAAATTGTCCAGCATCTGTACAGATCTTTTTCAATGTCTTAGCCCAACCTGGGCTGCCTCGTATTGGGTGTTTGTACAGGTAGGAAGTTTGGGGGTCAGCTGGCTTGGCCTCCAAGCTTTTGCCCTACCTCTGCCGGCTCTGAGAGGACTCTGCCCCTCCGAGGGTGACCATGACCCTTCCCGATCCCTTCCCTTCCGCACCGTGCAGGGAGCTTCACCTTGTATTCTCGTTTCTTCCTCCAGCCATGTCTGACTTCCATGTGCACCCCCAGGCCACTGTGGGTGAGGAGGGGGGCGTGGCCCGCTTTCAGTGCCAAATCCATGGGCTTCCCAAGCCCCTGATCACGTGGGAGAAGAACAGAGTCCCCATTGACACGGACAATGAGAGGTAAGCCAGGTGG